GTACACCGGCCTTTCCTCATCTTCCCCTTCTTGAACAAGGACCGAGCTCATAGCTTTGTTAAAAACCGCTAGGTATAGGGTCAAGGGAGCATTCTCTTCTGGTCTGGTTAGGATTGGGGGAGAAGATATGAAGCATTTTACTCCTTGAAAGGCCTCTTCACATGTCTTCGTCCATTCGAATTCCTCCGACTTCTTGAGGGCTGCAAAGAAATGGATCGCTCTATCTCCTGCACACGATAGAAAATGAGATAGAGTGGCTAATCTTCCCATCAATTATTGTACCTCATTTGAAGACGGGATGCATATATATATGATCGCTTGGAATTTTTCCGGGTTGGCTTCTATTCCACGGTTTGTGAGCATGAACCCCAGGAATTTACCATCTTGAACTCCAAAGATACATTTGTTTGGGTTAAGCCTCATATCATACCTCCTCAAGGAGGCGAGTGTTTATTTCAGGTCAGTTATATGTTGTTTCTCTATGGTGTTTTTGACGACCATGTCGTCTACATACACTTCCAGGTTCCTCCTGATTTGAGTGGAAAATACCTTATCCATTAGTCGTTGGTAAGTGGCTCCTGCATTTTTAAGGCCAAATGACATTACTTCATAATAATAATTGCTCCGATCTCTTATAAAGGTAGTCTTTGGGGCATCGACCGAGCTCATACATATTTGGTTGTATCCCGAGTAGGCGTCCATAAAGTTGAGCAGCCTATAACCTGAAGTCTCATCAATGAGTCGGTCTATATGTGGCAAGGGATACAGATCCTTAGGGCATGCTATATTGATATCTGTGAAGTCGACGCACATGCGCCACTTCCCTGTTTTCTTTTTTACCATAACCACGTTGGCTAACCAAGTAGAATATTTGATTTCTTTGATGAAACCAACATCGAGTAGCTTCTTGACCTCATCTTTTATAGCCTTATTCTTTTCTTCTCCGCCTTTTATTTTTCTCTGGGATACTGGCTTTGTATCTGGGCTTAATGTTAAATGGTGGCACATGAAGTTAGGATTTATTCCCGGTATATCAGAGGGCTTCCATGCGAGCAAGTCGACATTCTCCTTTAATAGCTCCACGATTTCTACCTCCTCCTCCTAAGAAAGGTTACCTCCTATATAAGTTATTTCAGAGGGTGTGGTGTCAATTTGGACCTTCTTTGTTTCATCGCGAGGAGAAAGGTTGTCTTTCGGTGAACCGTCACGTGGATCTATATCAATCATGTTGACTTTCAGCTCACTGGAGTGTCTGGGCTCTTTGAGTTGTGCCTTCTTCTTTAACTTCAAGCTGTCTTTATAACATTTTCTTTCCAATCCTTGATCACCTTTAACCACCCCTACCCGCCATCCCCCAAAGGGTACTTCATTGTGAGGTACGGGGTGAAGAAACTAGCTTCCAAGGAATTAAATAAAGGTCTTCCTATGATGATGTTGTAAGCTAAAGTGGCGTTGACAATCAAGTATCTTACTCTGACTTTTTTAGCATTTGCACAACTTGCGAAAGTAGTCAGTACCAGAGGTGTCCTAATACTTACACCCACTCGCCAGAGAATCCGACTAAAGTACTATTGAAGGGTAGCAACTTAGAGGTATCAAACTCTATTCCCTTGAAGGCTTCCCAATAGAACATGTCGGTTGAGCTGATGGGATCTACTAGCACCATTTTCACGCTTTAATATCTGATTTGTAGTGTAATGACCATAAGATCATTCTCATGAGCCATAATACTGACAACATCTCTTTTGGAGAAGCTAATGGGATTTAAATCATGTTCCCGAACTTTGGATATGTCTTTGGATACGTGCATCATGGCATGAGTGTATTTCTTCCTAGCCGAGCTAGTTTCTCCATCGCCAGCGAATCCACCAACAATGGTGTTGAGGGTATGACGAGCTGATTTGGTCTCATGCACTTCCTCTGTACCTTTCCCTTTCTTCTAGGATGGTCCTTCAGCGTCGGCATCCTCTCGTCGGGTATCTCTTTTCTCGGCTGAGGCTTTGTCATCTTTCACATAAGTTAGCAAGTTCCCTCTTTGAATCAATGCCTCAATTTATTTTTTTAACTGAATGCAGTCGTCAGTATGGTTTCCCCGGAGTCTGTGGTAACTGCACCAAGCCCCGACATCCCTTCCCATTACAGCATTGACCCCCCTTTTATTACGGGGTGCTTCTGGGATCAGGTTCATATGCACTACCTCTTGTAAAATTTTGCCTTTCCTTGTGTTCAGAGGTGTTTCCACATTGTTTGGATCGAAGGGCGTCCGTTCGGCCTTTAGGCTGCACGTTCTCGGGGCCTGTCTCTTGGAGAAATCCGGGCGGATTTTGGCTTCCTTCCCGACCCCTCTTCCTTGGCTTTTATTTTCTCCGAGGTATCCCTGGATCGTTTCTCCATATTGCTTTCCTTGACTTTTATGTAGCATTCGGCTCTGTTTATCCATGTTCGATGTTGGTTTCTGAGCTAGGAACTCATTGAACTTCCCGGCTCGGAGGCCGTGTTGAAATTCTCCTAATAATAGATATTGATTGGGATTAGACACTTTGATAGTCTCTTCATTGAACTGGGCCAAGTATTCTCTGGGGGACTCCGTTTGGCCTTGTCAGATGTTGAACAATATGGTCGTTAACACCTTGTGATGTCGATTAGTAGAGAAATGTTGAATCAGCTTCTTCGTTAGGTCCAAGTAGCTTTCCACGGATAGCTGTGGTAAGCTCATATACCAGCGCAAAGCAACATTCTTGAAGGTTCCTGCCATCAACTTACATTTTAGTAAGTCTGTGGGGCCTATTATTGCCATTTTGTTGTTGATGGCAATAACATGCTCCTGAGGATCAGTTTTCCCGTCGTAAGTTTTCAGCAACAGTGACTTGAAGTTTTCTGGGACTTGATCGTCCCATACGGCTTGAGACAGTGGTTGAGGCTGTAGGAGCTCCACTTCTGATTGTTCTTCTCCCAGTATTTTAAGTTGCAAGTCAACGACACTGTCCTGTAGAGTCTCGTTATGCTGTCTCAGAGCCTCCACCATGGCTAACAATTGCGCCATGGGTGGGGAATCTCCTTTGAATGACATTCTTGTGAAAGAGTGTTGAAGTGTGGCCTACGAAAATTTTATCAAGGCCCCACGGTGGGCGCCAATTTTCCTGCGTAGAACAAATATTTGGCCGCCTTCCCCTCTGACAATGAGAAAAGCCACGAAAGTAGGTTTGTAGGATTATGGGGGATTTGGGAGCTACGTTAATGGTGTGTATTTTCCCAAGAATGATGTCTTGCTTATCCTTCTTGTGGGAGACCCTTATATAGTGTACTTGGTATGCTTCATCAAGAGCCTCAATTAACGAGTGACTCTTGAGTTCCATAACCATATAACCTCTTCTGTCTCTATGAATGGAGGTGATAAAAGTTATGTAACACTGTAGTAAATGCGCCGTCGATGGTTATAAACATTAATGAGCCGAGTTGATGGCTGGTTACGGGAAGGTGGGTCTCACGCCAACCATATATGGGTCCATGGTATTTACAGGCTGCTACCCGGGGGTGATAGTTGTAACTCCTCAAAATAATTAGATTATTTATTTAATTATTTAATTATGATGAGTTTTTGTGATATTTATGTGATGTATTGATAATTGTGATGCTTGATATGATGTTTTGTGTGGTGTATGATGGAGTAGTAGGATTAAGAAGGTACATAGTATTTTAGAATAATTTGGATAATTTTAGATAATTAAAATAATTAATTAGGATTATTTTAATTAGTTAAATATAATAATATTGGTGTTAGAGATGACAAGGGCATAATGGTCAATTGGAAGAAGTTAAGTGAGGGAAAAGGTGGAAGGACCATATGAGGGGTCCAAGGGGCAAGATTGATAAATAGAGAATATTGGGGTTTGAGCGATTCATTATGTACAATCGCTTTTGGAAGAGAAATAGAGAGAAGAGGCTAGAGAACGAAGTGAAGATAAGAGAATCAATTGTAGATCTTGGATCGGGAATCAAAGCTAGAATCTAAGGTAATGGAATTTATCATTGTTATTATAATTAATCTAAGGTTTTAGATAATTGTAGTATTGTTTAGGGTTTTGTGATGAATTGATACTATGAGGGGTATTATGAGTTGTGATGAAATTGAGGAAATTACCATGATGATTTGCCATGAGTTTGTGTGTATGATGCCTATAATATTGTGGGTTTGTTGTGTGATGATTTTATATGGAATAATATGAAAATCTGGACTATAATGGGATGGAATCGCAAGAAAATTTGGGACTAAATAGGTGCAGAATCACAACAGGAAGTTGTTGCCTGGTGCGCATCGTCGGGTGATGGATGTGTGTCGTCGGGCGATGAAGCCTCTCTTGTGCAGCGCCGGGTGAGCAAGAAGAGATGGAATGGGTTGAAAAACATAGCCCCTGGATTTTATATGGAGGGTGATCTGTCGCACCTGCATTGCTGGGCGATGCAAAAGCGAAGGGTGATCGCCAGATGAGCAAGATGCTTCACCGGGTGATGGAGACCAGAGGGAAACATAATCCCTGGAATTTTGTATGAGAAGGAAGTTGTCGCTTCCACGTCTTCGGGCGAGCTTCAGGCGACCAATATGCTCCGTCGGGCGAGCACCAGGCGATGGACAGCATCAACTTTTTAAAGTGTCATAACTTGAGTTTCAGGACTCCAATTGACGCGTCGTTAGAAGTGTTAGAAAGTTAACGCGATGAAATATATGTTGGTGGAATAAATTAGGATATGGGTAGTGTTTTTCAGTACCTAGGATTTGATGAATAAGATGATTTTGGTGATTGTTTTAATAGGGTGTGTGTATACAATGAATTGTTGTTGTTATGATGATGTTGTTTTGTGTTATGAAGTATGTGTTGACTTTGAATTATGTAGGTGTTTGTCATGTAGATGGTGTAAGTGAAAAAGATCGACCAAACATAAAGCAAAATCTAATTCAATCATACAACACAGAACTCGGTCCAAAGGTAAAATCTCTCTGCATGGACACAACAAATGTTTCAACAAAAGGAACTAACCCTGTAAGAAGCAACTCTTCAAAAGAACGTAGATATAATGACAGAGTTAGCATCTTTGATTGGTTTTACCAATTCAGTATTCTACTCCAGAGAAGCCTCAAAGAAAGAAAATATGAATCATTCAACATACTGAGAGTTTCTCAAGTTGTTGCCGCTGCATTACTAGCTGGTTTAATGTGGTGGCATTCAGACTATATGAACATTCAAGATAGGCTTGGATTACTCTTCTTCGTTTCAATCTTTTGGGGTGTATTCCCGTCTTTCAACTCTGTGTTTGCATTCCCACAAGAGCGCGCAATCTTTGTAAAAGAGAGAGCTTCTGGTATGTACACATTGTCATCCTATTTCATGGCTAGAATTGTCGGCGACCTACCAATGGAGCTTATTCTTCCAACAATTTTCCTCATTATTACATACTGGATGGGAGGATTGAAGCCTGATTTGTTGTCTTTTCTCTTAACATTGTTGGTTGTTCTTTTATTCGTGCTTGTATCACAAGGTCTTGGACTTGCTTTAGGTGCAGCAATAATGGATGCTAAACAAGCTTCCACAGTTGCAGCAGTTACAATGCTAGCATTTGTTTTAACAGGTGGATACTATGTTCATAAGGTTCCATCTTGTGTTGTTTGGATCAAATATATATCCACAACATTCTATAGTTACAGACTTTTGACTAGAATTCAATATGGTGATGGCAAAAAAATTGCTTACCTATTGGGTTGCAATCATGAGAGTAGTACTAGTGATGGAGCTAACTGCAAATTTCTTGATGAAGATGTGGTGGGTCAAATGGGCCCAATGGGAAGCATTGGAGTGTTGTTTTTCATGTTTGTGTTTTACAGATTATTGGCTTACCTTGCCTTGAGACGTATAAAAAATTGACATTGAAGGACTTGTGCATTGCATAGTTCTTTGGGAAATTAATATGAATACTAAAAGGTGATGTTATGAATTGAAAGGGATGAATCAATTACTTGGCTCCTAGTGCAGCAACAACCATAATGTTCTTAGTTGATTTGTGCTAACTGTAATTGAAGAATGAGAAAATTTCTGTAAAGTTGTTAGATAGGTAACATCAAAAGAATGAAGGGTTTGAATTCAAATTCTGCAAGTTTTATTCTGTACTAAGAATATTCAGCGAAGAAATAAAGAAATTTCTTCCACATGCAATATAAAATCATTATGCCATTTCTTTTTTACTTATGGTGTTTTTCTTTAATTTCTGCAATCTCTTTTTCTTAAAATAGATTACAATTTCATACCAATTATTACCATGAATTATTAATTTTTTATCCAATCAGTATAAATATTAGAAAGAACAGTTTTTATTTTATAGAAAGGAAAGACTAGTTTTTAATGTTGATAAATAATTTTTTAATTAATACCATAAACTCACACTCATACACATTGTCATATTTGTTCATCATTTTATTTTCTGCCTTTTTTTAATTATGTCAAAGAGGGAAGAAGTGTAATCTTAAGGGAAGTAGGTATACTTTATATTTGTAGAAGGGAGCTTATGTGTTTCAATCTATAACATTTATTTCTCTATATGTCTTTATCCTTAAGACTTGCGTTGTCATCATAAAAAATAGAGAAAATGTGAATCTATTTGCTTGTAATTACGAAGTCTTTAACAATATGTTAATTTAGTTTTGAAGTTGACAACAGTCTTAAGAGAAATCTTCATCATAAATATTTTTGGTTTGGATGATGACAAGTGATGTTATCGTTTGATCAAGTGAAGTCTTAAGAGAAACACCATCACTTGATCACATCAAACGATAACATCACTTGTCATCATCCAAACCAAAAATATTTATGATGAAGATTTCTCTTAAGACTGTTGTCAACTTCAAAACTAAATTAACATATTGTTAAAGACTTCGTAATTACAAGCAAATAGATTCACATTTTCTCTATTTTTTATGATGACAACGCAAGTCTTAAGGATAAAGACATATAGAGAAATAAATGTTATAGATTGAAACACATAAGCTCCCTTCTACAAATATAAAGTATACCTACTTCCCTTAAGATTACACTTCTTCCCTCTTTGACATAATTAAAAAAAGGCAGAAAATAAAATGATGAACAAATATGACAATGTGTATGAGTGTGAGTTTATGGTATTAATTAAAAAATTATTTATCAACATTAAAAACTAGTCTTTCCTTTCTATAAAATAAAAACTGTTCTTTCTAATATTTATACTGATTGGATAAAAAATTAATAATTCATGGTAATAATTGGTATGAAATTGTAATCTATTTTAAGAAAAAGAGATTGCAGAAATTAAAGAAAAACACCATAAGTAAAAAAGAAATGGCATAATGATTTTATATTGCATGTGGAAGAAATTTCTTTATTTCTTCGCTGAATATTCTTAGTACAGAATAAAACTTGCAGAATTTGAATTCAAACCCTTCATTCTTTTGATGTTACCTATCTAACAACTTTACAGAAATTTTCTCATTCTTCAATTACAGTTAGCACAAATCAACTAAGAACATTATGGTTGTTGCTGCACTAGGAGCCAAGTAATTGATTCATCCCTTTCAATTCATAACATCACCTTTTAGTATTCATATTAATTTCCCAAAGAACTATGCAATGCACAAGTCCTTCAATGTCAATTTTTTATACGTCTCAAGGCAAGGTAAGCCAATAATCTGTAAAACACAAACATGAAAAACAACACTCCAATGCTTCCCATTGGGCCCATTTGACCCACCACATCTTCATCAAGAAATTTGCAGTTAGCTCCATCACTAGTACTACTCTCATGATTGCAACCCAATAGGTAAGCAATTTTTTTGCCATCACCATATTGAATTCTAGTCAAAAGTCTGTAACTATAGAATGTTGTGGATATATATTTGATCCAAACAACACAAGATGGAACCTTATGAACATAGTATCCACCTGTTAAAACAAATGCTAGCATTGTAACTGCTGCAACTGTGGAAGCTTGTTTAGCATCCATTATTGCTGCACCTAAAGCAAGTCCAAGACCTTGTGATACAAGCACGAATAAAAGAACAACCAACAATGTTAAGAGAAAAGACAACAAATCAGGCTTCAATCCTCCCATCCAGTATGTAATAATGAGGAAAATTGTTGGAAGAATAAGCTCCATTGGTAGGTCGCCGACAATTCTAGCCATGAAATAGGATGACAATGTGTACATACCAGAAGCTCTCTCTTTTACAAAGATTGCGCGCTCTTGTGGGAATGCAAACACAGAGTTGAAAGACGGGAATACACCCCAAAAGATTGAAACGAAGAAGAGTAATCCAAGCCTATCTTGAATGTTCATATAGTCTGAATGCCACCACATTAAACCAGCTAGTAATGCAGCGGCAACAACTTGAGAAACTCTCAGTATGTTGAATGATTCATATTTTCTTTCTTTGAGGCTTCTCTGGAGTAGAATACTGAATTGGTAAAACCAATCAAAGATGCTAACTCTGTCATTATATCTACGTTCTTTTGAAGAGTTGCTTCTTACAGGGTTAGTTCCTTTTGTTGAAACATTTGCTGTGTCCATGCAGAGAGATTTTACCTTTGGACCGAGTTCTGTGTTGTATGATTGAATTAGATTTTGCTTTATGTTTGGTCGATCTTTTTCACTTACACCATCTACATGACAAACACCTACATAATTCAAAGTTAAGCTTGATTAATATCACACCCTCAAACAATAACATGTTCATTTTATTTATTGCAATTCAATTATGTGACGTAATTGTTTTTCTTATTTAAGAAAGTACTTGGCAGAAGATAGGAAAATAACAAGAAAAATATCAGAGAATAGATTGAAGAGTTCTGATTGCATTCAATTTCAAAACAAGTGGACTTCATGTTTCGTACTAAACCTTTCAACTTTCAAAATTGAAATTAAAGAGATAAGGGACCACACATCAAATAGAAAGAAAGGGAAACTTTGTACGAAAAATCTTTATCAACTGATAAATCATATGCAACAAAATAAATTATAGGAACCGATAGAACATAGCCTGGCATTGTCCCACAAAACCACAAATTGCAGAACATATCATTTAAAATGGCCAAGTTTATCAACCGGGTTGAGTCTAGCGGACGAGACTAGTCCGACATGACGTAAAAACTAAGGTTAAAATCACAGTTAGGATAGGTGATCATATTTAGTGTTAGCAATTTGAATAATCTTACTTTCAATGGAGTAAACCATGAAAATACAGAAATAAACTGCCTAATCTGTTGGCACAAAAATATAGAAAGTATTACTACAAGATATATTAGTCGAAACAGCGATAAAAGATAAACAGAAAGGTGTTTAAATTAATCAAAAAGTTACTTGATTAGTTGAGTATTCCAAAAGGACGGACTAGGGGCATAACATGCTTAAATATGATAGTGGAACATATAAAAGCTGACTTATGTATTAATGTCATGTTATGGTGTGTCTCCACTAATTTTGGTGCTGTCACTGCTGATTGGGCCAGCAGCTCCTACTTTCATTTCCATATCAATCTCAATATATCCATTTATTTACTTTTTATTCATTATAAGCCTTATGCCATCACACTTCACTTTAGGGGAGAATTGTTTATACGGATGTAAAAGCAACCCAACACGTGTTGCTCTCTTACAGATCCTAAGAAGAGAGAGATTCTCAAAAAAAGTGGAGGAAAGGAGAAAAATAAACAAAGTGGGGAAAAAAGAAGGACAGATCATTTGTCAAAGAAAAGAAGTGAAGGTCAAGTTTTTTCCAAGTGTAATGATCAATAAGGAGCAACGCCTATGACCATGATCTCGTGTTGATCAATCATTTCAAAGAAAATTTAACAATATTATTATTCTTATTCAATTCTTTCCCATCTTTTCCTGTTTTAAACTTAATGAATGAATTGATATAAACATGAAAAGTAATTGCAAAACAATTAAAAGAAAAGTTTTCATCCAAAACTAATTTTGCAGGTCACACCACCAAACATCCATATCTAAAACAAAACATCCAACGTTGGAAACACAAATAAACACGTTGGTTATGACCCCAAACACTACTTTAATACTAACCAACCTGTAGAAATTACAAATCAAAAAGTTTTATTATGCACCCCTCTTTTCTGATATATATGAAATTGAAAAAGAAAAGCATGATGCCAAAATCTACTAAAAAATATCCAATCCCACTTTTTTCCTAGGTGCTCTTTCCTCTTTTATTTTCTTTTACATCAAATGTATGGTTTCTCACGATATCAGTGTCGTCATTACCTCCACCATCATAATATTCAAATGGACCCAAGAATCAACGGAAAAAAGTTAAGAAAAATCTTTCAGTGCCAAAGATGATGAATTCCATAAAAGATAAAAATACCTAGTCAAAGAGCACTTACCACACAGTTAAATATCATGGATTATTATTAATTAATTCAGGTCCTAGCTAAAAAATTTTTAAGTGATATCTATGCCAAAAGAAGTAAAATCCCAGCACATGTAATATGTGACCAGTTATCTTCAACTAAAGTCTAATCCACTACTTAAGCATTACCAACTTTAACCTTATGCACTTTCTCCTTTGACCATAAAATATATATCTTTGGTCCATATTGCTACCTTAGTCTAATATCTCATTAGACCAGAGAATATGTACTAAGCTCACATCACTTGTATAACCTTATCGACTTAACATGTTTAAACATGCCATGATAACAGAGAAAGAAAGACGTGTAGATTTCTTTGTCTAAAATTGTCTAAAAGGAAAATAAATACAAAAAGTACGGTTTATGAATTGTGATAACAATGTTTGCTAAAATCTGCAGCACGTTTGTTAATTTCTTGTTGTCTATGTCAGAACTTAAATGATTTGTCCAAGCCTGTCTATCCATTCTCCCTGGACACAAAACAAGTCAATCTAAATACTATTTTCGACGTCGCAACAAAGAGAGGCTTGTAACTAGACAACCGGAGCGTGGAAATTAAATGGTGGATGGCCCACTGGATCTTAAACGAGGCTCTAATACCATATTGAGATGTGATTGGGCCTAATTCAACCCTACAAAACCAGCTTGTTGGGTGAGGATTGCCCCCACTTATAAACACATGTTCAGGCCATATATTGTCCGATGTGAGACTCTTAACAATAGATTAAGTTATTCTAGTAGAAAAGGACATAGTTGACGGTTTCAGTGACAAGGGGCCATGCCTACACAGGTCCATAAGTGCACCATATGCCTTTCACTTATGTTTCTTCTAATTTTGGAATATATTTCTGGACCCACATCATATTTGGCACCAAGCTCAAATTGACGGGAAAATTGAAAACTTTAATGCTTTCTTTATCGTTTCATTTGGTGCAAGAAAACGATTTCCTTATCTGTTTTCATGGTTTTCACTATAACTCTTTGGTAAAAGATATACAATGTGGTTAATTAAAAAATTGAACATCCTTCTCTGTTTCAAAGTATTGGACTTAATTTTCATATCAAAGTGGTATTTAGCTTCAAGTGGAAAATGCTATGCATGCCTCACTGGATGAGGCAGAAGCTAAGATTGTGAGTTGGCCAAGAAACTGTAAGGGGGGAAATTGGCTGAAAAGGAGGGAAAATTATTGGCATATGAAGTCAAATCATATTGGCCCCGGAAGAAGAAATTATACAACTGGCTATGTAGTAATAGTTGAAGGCAAGAAAATAGGAAAGCCAGTGGCAAACTGTTCCAAAAAAGATGGACACGTGGTGAGCATCATGTAATAAATTTTTTAAATAAAGCAAAGCATTCCATTGTTGATGCAAAAATCAAAACCCATTAAGTTTTTAATTAATGGATTTCTTCCACTCAATGGGAGAGAAAATCTTTATCATTCTACTGTCTAAGCTCATACCTAAAATATACTCATTAACTTCAATAGTATTTTATATAAGAAAGGACAACCATTGCCAAGAAGCACTAAAACATGAACACATTATTTTTATTAGACCCTATTAACTTAGGGATGGTCCAGATATTAATTGATTATGGAATGTGAGTTCATCCATCCTAAATTAGTGTTAATCTAATCTTTTGACCACCCTTTTCACCCATTAAGGCCTCTTTTGTAATCATCCATCACATGAATATCATTAGGGAATCAGGATATTTGTTTCCCGTTATAATGTATGGCTCTTTTTCTTTTCTTTCTGAACTTATATTGGACAACTTTAATGCAGAGCTAATCTATGTAAATAATTTTCTATGGCTCTCCTCGAAGTATAAAAAAAGCCCAAAAATCATAGTGAATAAAACCATAAAACAAGGGCAGTTGTGGACCATATGTAATACATCATGGTCCATGGTGTGTCTCCATAGGTGGCAATTATAGCAGGCATAGAATTACATTAAACAATGCTTACAACAGAATGTGGTCTAACATGTGGTGGTATGCTTAGATTGACTTATTTTAGTTTAAATTATGACATAATATCCTATTTTAGTTTATAAAATAATTTACACATAAACATTATTATGATAAACTTATGTGTTGTAAAAAAGTGATCAACACTCGATGTAAGAAGTTTCAAACAAAATTATTTATTAAAATAGAGCTTTAATATCTTTAACATGTTCTAATTCTCAAACAAAACTAATAATTTACACTTAACTATGGCTTAAAAGTAAACTAATCAAAACTAGTATTAAAAACTTATCACCAAATTTAATGAATGGATACATACATTTTGTACAAATCATATCACAATTCAATATTTTTTTTATGACGAAGTGATAATAATAATTAAAAACTACAAACAACCATGAGTATCAAAGTTCGAATACTTGTGATGACATTCAGGTTTCTAGCCATTGAGCTAGAATTTGTATAATTATGTATGTTTGTTATATTAACTTATAAAATAATTCCATCAACATATGATCTTACAAATTTTTGATGTGTTTGTGTATATCATTAAATTTATATAAATTTAGAAAATAAATATTTATGAAAGCGTAAAAATAATCTGACAAATGCACTAATACTAATAATAATAATCTGACCAAAAAAAACAGAAATAATGAATTTCACGTACCGTTAGCGAGATCGAGCAGAAAATCCGCCGGATTAACCGGGAAGGATGGAGCGAATCCAACCGACTCGAAATACCTCATGGCGTCTGTTCCTTTGCCGTAGTACATACAGTTACCTTCGGACAACACAAGCACTTTATCAAACATCTGGTAGACACGACTCGACGGCTGGTGCACTGACGTAACCACTGTCTTCCCTTTCCTCGCCAAGGAGGCCAGCGTCGACACAAGGCGGTGCGCCGCCGTGGAGTCCAATCCAGAGGTAGGTTCATCCAAGATCAAAAGCGCCGGGTCCACCAACATCTCGTGAGCGATACTCACGCGCTTCCTCTCTCCACCAGAAACACCGCGAATGAAGCTATTGCCAATGATAGTGTTCTCACATTTGCTTAAACCTAACTCCACGATCACTGACTCCGCCGCTGCTACCTTCGTCTCCCGCGAAAGCGTCCTCGGGAGACGCAGCATGGAGCAGAAAACCAGTGTCTCGCGAACCGTTAAGTGAGGGTAGAGAATATCGTCCTGTGTAACGAACCCGGTTCGACGGAGAATGGTTCGGTTGAGTTTTGATGAGTTAGCGAGGATTGTTCCAGTGAGATCGTTTCCATGAAGCCTCCCTGCGAGTGAGTTTAACAGCGTCGATTTTCCGCTTCCAGATGGGCCTAGAATGGCTAGGATCTCTCCTGGGTAAGCTATTCCTGTTACACCGTTGAGAATGATTCTCTCTTGCGTTGATCTTTGATCAGACGGTTGTGGTTCGAGCGCGGTAAAGAAGTTCTTGATGCACCCTCCTTTTTTATTCTCTATCTTTAATCTGTATCCCACGTCCATAAACTGCATTGCATGAGTATATATAAGTTATTTTTTATTGTCAACTAAATTCAAGAACAAATGAGATGAGTGGTTTCAAACTCGCGCTTCTATATAAGATCATTTTAATGGTGGATAAAATAACATTAGAGATTAATGAGTTTTATTATTGTTGTTAAGTACTTGTATTAAATGGTGTACCTTAAGAGTGATTGGATAAGAAGAAGAGAGTAAAGGAGGAAGATCACGCGATTCTCGGGGGCTTTGTTTGGGAGGTGCATGAGTGTTGGATGAGTTTAAGTTTGGACTTTCTAAGCCACCAAACGTTGATGGTGTTGTTGTTGTTGGCATTATTGCTACTTTTGCTATCTTGAAGAAATAATACTAGGGAATTGAAGAGTATAGAAAAGAGAATAAGAAGAGCAAGTGTTTTGTGTGACTAGTGAATGAATGGAGTGAGAGGAACAAGGGATAGGAATACAATGGGGTATTTATGGAGGGATCAGAACCCATAAAACTGCCACATGTCAATGTGGAAGCTCTATTTCAGGGGTTGCTACGTGGCAGTCATCTATATGCATCTAGCCGCTTGGTTAAATTGTTTCATGGAATGGAAAAGTATCCACTTTCTTTTCTTTCTTTGCTTTTCATTTCTTTATGTCTATTTTTCTACTTTTAGTTTTTGCTTTTTTCAAATAGTAAGAATTAAAAATAATAAAGTGATGGAGAATTTAAGTTGGGTTTTTTATCTTAAGGATGAAAAGGTCTACATGTTCAAAGATTAAACAGAAATCAAATGACACTGAAAAACTAAAAAAAAAAAAAAATGAACATCTAAAGAGTCATTTCATCTCAATTAGAGGTTACTTTGACAAACTAGGACTCATCCCGTTTAGATAAATCTCACATTTAGAAGAAAAATTTTGTTTTAAATTTTTTATTATTTTATATTATTAATGCAATTTTATATTTAATTTTCTAATAAATATTTTTAATTTATTATTTTTTCAGTTAATATTAATGTTAATTTGAATATATCAATAACTAATAAGAATAATTTGATAAAGTCATTATTATCTTATCGTTTATTATTATTTTTAATCTGTGTGAAATGATCAACTGTGATAAATAATATGGAATGAATAGAGTATTAATTATTGTTTCGATAAATAATTTAAGTTTTATAGCACATGTGTTTATTTATGATTTATACAATTTATTTCAAATATCAAATTATGAAAGAATGTTAAATTGTTTTTTATATTTTTTTTTATAAGGAAGGAATATATTAAGAGAGTATTAGGGATACTCTAACTCGCTTACAAAGACTGAGAAACGACGCTTGGGACAACTGTTTCCAGTGATTTTTGGTAAACAACCGCTAGTCTTTCAAACTATCGAATAATCTTTCTTACTGTTATTCAATTCCTCTGGTAACTCACAGGATCGACTAGATTGATCCTAGGACTCCTTGGATATTAAGGTTACTCTCACAATCGAACAGATATTCATGGTTGCTATTGTATAGGTGTTTGGTTTGTTTCGATCTCTCTCTCTCTCTAAGAGTCTAAAGATGTAATCAAAATGTGTGTGAAAACTAAGTTACACGAATAAATGCTAATTGTAATGCTAATTGTAAAGACATATAAAACTGCATAAAAATGAAGTGAGTGGCTTCGACTTACAAAACAGTTAATATAAAGGATTTCTGGAACGTAAAAGTTTGAAATGTGAAGAAAGCGTTTAATGCAAGAAATCTGTAAACAATTTTAAGTAAACATATGCGTTCGAAGGATAAGATTTGAAGGTAAAGGCATGGAAAATATGACAGTTTTCTGGAATATAAAGTGCTCGAAATATAAAGAAAAACATTAAAATATAAAACTTTGAAGAAGAGATTTCGAAGTGAAAAGACTGTAAATAAGAAAACTTGTAAATGTTGTTTGACAAAAGGAATAAAGGAAAGTACTGGAAATGGTAAAAGGTTTTCATTAAATCAGAAATACATGGTGCTATCATACATACATTTCTCTTGCATTCGTTTCTCTTGCCATGTGGTAGTTTGAATGTTATTGAGTATTTTGTATAATAGATATCACACACGAAATCCTAATACTAAGACTTCTATTTATACTAATTCGACCATAACGGTCTTGCTATAGGATTATGCCACGTTTCGAACATGCAGGACAATGCTTCTTTCATCTTTCCACGTGTCCCTAAATGCTCCAACACATAACTTTCAAACTTTGAAAGTCCCGCTTCCATTTGAATTTTAAATGCTTTGGTGTTTCTCCGTTTCGAACGCTCTTCCCAGACACAGCCTCGCTGTTGTTTCGAGACTCCTTTAGATATGTTCCCATAATTGCCATTCGAAGCTCCAAGCTTTGACACACTTATTCGAAACACTGCTTCTACTACTTCGAAATATGACGTTTAATTCCATTTTGATCAAAACGTTTAACTCATTTGGCTTCTAAATAACATTATCAAAATCTTCAGCCAACAAATTGCCCCTTTAAAATATGTATTTCGATTCCTCTGAGAAATACCTATTTTAAACACCTACACAAGATTTTGATAGGACTTTCGAATCATCGTAACATTTAATGCATTTGACTCCAGTCACATCAATCATAGCACCTTTTGGATTCCTTAACCGCCCGGAGTCACTTCACAGCGTGGTGCAGTTATAAATAATGATTATCTCTAAATCACGCCTATTACCTATGTTAACTTCACGCCACCTCTTCATCACACCAACCCATGATCTCCACGTATCACACTTCTATTCGGTGGATGCTTAAACTTCCCCATTATAAAACATCAACTTAATCTTCTTCTTTTCTTTTCACACTCTAAATCTTTCACACTCTGAATCTTTCACACTCTGAATCTTTTACCCTCCTTCTCTCATAAAACAATCTAAGCTTTCAACATCTTTCAAAATGTCTTCCTCCACTTCATCCCAACTCAAGAAAGTCTCCAAGAAGAAAGGAAAAACTACAGGAGCTACCATGGAAAGTAAAATCATCACCATCCAAGGTCAATCTGCTCTTGTCCCTCAGATGATTTCCAAAGAAAAAGAAATGCTATATGCGTCACAGGTACTCATTCCTACCCACGTTGCTGGTAAGAGGTTAGCTTTAAATGGCCCTCTTACGGTTTTTGAAATATTAAAGGACACCAGGACGATTTTTCCAGTTTGTTATAGCTTCAAACCCTTATTTAACAAAATGGACGCCCCTAAGGCAGTAGAATCTCCTAGTTCAAATACCATAGAAACCCCAACTATTCCTCCTAAGGACCCCTTTGTTTTGGATTATGTAAAAAGTAATTTTAAGCCATTTCGATCTTGCCCTACTTCTGATATTGCTTATCAAAATTGGTTCACGAAAGTAGAAGCCAAGAAATCCCAGCAATGGGAAGAATTAGGCATTTATAACCTGATTAAGCTATCGAAGCCTGGTTTCACCTACAGCCACCCTCTGCTATTCGCGTCCCTTTATTTCTGGGACAGCACCTACAATACTTTCCATCTCCCAGGTGGAATGATCACCCCGACCTTCTTCGACATAACGGCCATTACTGGGCTGTCGCCAGTGGGAGAAACTTATGTACCCGACAACAAAGAGCACTCAAGCATAATTGACTTCGAAGTCAAGCTAGCCAGTTTTTCCAAATTTATCAGTCATTATCATGTTGAAGGGGACAATGTGTCTGACGTAGAGCACATTGCTTTCTTAACCCTGTGGCTGTCAAGATACGTTTTCTGCAGTAGATCCCTACAGGTAGCTAGTAGGTTTATTCCTCTAGCTAGGGATTTACATGAAAATCGAAAAGTGTGCCTAAGTGAACTACTCTTAGTTGACCTCTATGAAAGCCTGAGGTCAGCTGTTTCGAGCCTCAAATCCCACACCTCCAAAAACATTCTATTGGCTGGCCCATTTTGGTTACTCCAACTATGGCTAAATGCCATGTTCGAACCCTCCTTATCAACCGCCAATACCATTGATGAGCAAGATTCTGAGATAAGTGATAGGATAGTCGAAGGCACTAGGCTTCGAAGATTAACTCCTAATGATGACAAAGATGACTTCAAAGTTCAATTCTCGAAGTACATCATGATATTCTCCAAAAGGCACAAGTTCGAAGAGAGCATGGCGCCTTTTGCTTCGAGGGCTCATGGACCTTCTTGGTTCACCATGTCTCTCTCAGAAGCTATCAAGAGTAAGGAGATTCAGGATGTATGGAGAGCTTTCTTGCTGCCTAGACTCATCTCTTCAAGGATAACCCCAGCCAAGAACCAAATTTTTCTCTTTGCCTATCAACCAAACTTCGTTTCGAGGCAGTTTGGCTTATGCCAACTGATTCCTGAACCTTTGTTCCAAACTGAGAGCGCCATCACTTCTGGACGAACTTTCAAGGCAAGGGAAGCCAAAATACAGCAAGAACAATATCAAGGCTTTGCCCAATTTGAGCTGATAACCTTCGAACCTACCCATCTCGCGGCTAAAGGATTTCTGGAGTGGTGGATTAAGTTTTATCAAACTTATATGTTCGATACACTTACAATTCGACAGAAACTAATTGATGCCTTCGATATGCAGGTACCAGCAAAGAAAGGTATGTTTACTCATGCCAAAGAGATTAAAGCTTTCCAAAATTATTTTGAAACTACTTACGACCCCACGCGCTTGGACTCCACTGTGCATCAAGCAGCTGAGACCTTGAAGGAAAAATTTAAACAAAAAGTTTCTAAGTTAAAACTTCCTTCAGGGCTGTCACCTGAGGATAGGTATAGGTTGGAATTCGAAATGCATCCACCTAAATTTCCCAGATTACCTACCTCAGAACTGGCTCTGGCTTGGTTTCCCCCATATCCATGGTGGTTTACTTGCAAAGAGATGTTCAAATATCTTCAAAGGAAACCAAAGCCATCTGAGACTGTGACATGGGCTCGATACTGGCTTCATGATTTCCCAGGACACCTTCGATACGACCTTTCTGCCATGTCAATTAAATCTGATCAAGGCACAGGTGCGAATGCTTGGGAAAATCCCAAATGTCTTTTATTTTCCATATCTTTAACCTTTGCTTTAATTGTTTTGATTTTCAGCTATCAGGATAAAAACAGCTGCCTCGAAGTCGAAGGAAGGGAGTGCCTCTCAAGCCTCCATCGAAACTACTGACAAGGTGACTCCACCCGAAACAACTACTACTGCTGCAACCACAACAACAACAATAGCACCAACAACAACCAGTGTTCCAATTTCAACGGTAATCACTTAGACTTGATGTTTCGAATTTACTCAAGCTTTATGGTTTACATCTAACTTTTCGTTAAAATT